TGAAGACTCTCTTCAGTTTGTCTCCGTGCTGCCGGCTATAGAACGATTTGGCTGAGTTTAGGTGGTATGTCTCCGTCTGTCAAATATACTTTTATTCAGCATCTCACCTAATAGCTAGTCAACTAAGCTCATGTTTCAACCCGAAGGATATACTAATATCGCTTTAGTGGGACATAGTACATAATATAATGCATAACCCGCTCGTCAAAATGACTTCTCGGTTGCTACTAAAACCTGAATTGAAATACGAGTATCAGCTGCTTAGTGGGGCGCCGGCGGGTTAACATGGTCCTTGGCTCAAGAAGCGGTTGCTTAATTTTCGTAATTTTCCTGCAGCCTGTGTTGTTGGCCGAGCAGACGACTGGAGCTGTTTCGGAAACGCGGATACGCACAAAAGCTCAATTTCGCGGACAGATAAGTCGCATGGTCGAGGCATGCGAGTTAGCTGAAAAGTTACTCTCTGTGGAACAATTCTATAGTCATCGCCGCTTTCCTTAGATGATCAAAACTGATTAGCATATTACCGTCTCTCCGGAGCCCATAGTTTCGGTTTTGAACGAAATCTCCGAAACGAAAGTTTGATACGAAAAGAACAAAAAAACACCGGCAAAACAAAACTATGCTTTGCAAGTTTATCTGCACCGGCTACACTTAACCGTCTCAGTTCAAATACCTATATAATTGGGCATTAAACAAAAGAAAATCTGTTAAATTGAACGCGCCACCTGTTCAGGCGGCCCGGCCGAGCCGCCGCGACCTGGACTCAGCCGCCATGTTTGTTTGGTGGTGGCGCCCCCTATAGGTCGCTGGAGTCGCGAATACGCACTCATAAATATCGCCAAATGCCTCAATAAAACAAAATGTTCGAGAAAAAAAAAAAAAAGCAGCACCACCGCGCATCGAATCCGCGACCACATGCGTACAGATCGGACACCTTAACCGCTATGCTACGCCACGTTTTTTTTTTTTTTTGAGCAATTGTTTATTTACAGGTTAAAAACATAAGTAGCAAGAATGTAAAAAATGAGGTATATACATATGTTAGAGCAAAAAAAGGAACGTTACATAATTTAGACATTGCATTCAATGACCCAGCTGCAAAGTAAATCAGTTAAAGGCTACAGCACTGTTAAAGAGTGCAGTAACCTCAGCTCTGGATGTGTATTACACTCGAAGATCTTAAAAAAATATTTTAGAGTGAGGCACTTGCAAAGGCGACAGATAGTCTTCTCGAAGCATAAAAATTTGGTGCTACCTTTTGACCTTTTCCCAGAGTGTTTGTCAGATTGTTTTTCTATTTCAACTGGTTCTAAAGCTCAAATAGTCCAGTGCCATTCGTTAGGAAAGTGTCGCCACGCAGGTTAAGGGTACAGTGTGCATTCTGTCATGTCTACTCTTGACCGCCATACCGCATGTGGGCCTAAAACCATGAATATCTCCGTCGGGTCAGTCAGCGTCCTTTTGTAGTGCAGCCGTAGGAATTTCAAAGTACACCAACTAATTGACTCTTCAAGTCATCGTGGCCAGACAGGATGGAATCCTGCTCGGTGATGGGAGCCTTGGGAGATGACGATTTTGTTCGCCTCTTCCTCCTCCTTTTTGACTCCGCCCTCGCCCCTTGAGATGTGTAGCCAGGATCTGACGTGCATAGAATTTGTTCTCCCTTTCTTTTCCCAAGCATTTCTTTGTCGCTGGTTTCATCCATTTCGGACGCCTCTTCGTCTGACTTCACTGGCTCTTCAGCTTGGTCTTCAGCTTGGTCTTCAGAGACAAGAGCACTGAACGAGTTGGAGATGACAACATTGCTCACTGTCTCCTTCGTTGCAGAGTGTGACGACGCCGACCTGTCTTCGCACTTCTCAGTCCGTGAGACTGCCTCTACGTGGGCTGTGCTGTGAGCGCTACTGACCTCTGCCGAAACCTCTGTTTGGGCTGTTTCTTCTGCGCCCATCAAGTATTCTGTAGGAATCTGGAGAGATGCAGCCGTTCGGTTGGCGTACGTTTGAATACAATCTTCGGGATCGTGGCCGAATTTTCGGCATACGCTACACCAGGGAGCGCGGCACTGGCCTCGGACGTGTCCCACTTGCCTGCATCGTAGACATTGCGGTGCTCTGCCCGGTACGGAGACAAGTACGGTGGTTCCCAGGATCTTGAGCTGATGCGGCAAGCTGTCCACGGTCACCCCTTCGGTCAATTCAATTGACAGTATTCTTGTGGTTGTCTCCACTTCTTCGAAGCCGGAGTAGTGCCACTTGCCTCGAACGATGCTTTTTATTTTTCCAAACGTAGAAAAAGCACTAGCTACGTTTGCATCTGGGACGCTAGTTGGAACCCAGTGCACCTTCATGGACAGAGCAGTCTTGCTCCCGTCTATTATCAAACATGTCTTGTTCTTTACTTGGATCTCTCGGAGCTGCAGCAATCTTTCTTTTTCTTTGGCAGAACGTACTGTGAGCAGCCACACATGATTGTACTGGTAGGCCCCAAGCGAAGCTAGCTCGTTTGGGTTGATGATTTTCTTCAAAGCAGGACCGAAATCGTCGATGCGGTATGGCCGGGCTGATGGGTCCCCATGAAGAATCAGTGAGTTTTCAAGCAGCTTACCGTTGGGAAGAGGTGGCAGTAAAATCTTGTACTCCGTTGTACTTGGTGCAGAGGAGGCAGAAGCAGAAATGATATCAGAATATTCCCGGCTAGGCTTAGCCGTTGAGATTTCCTTTACGGAGCCCATTTCCAACGCGGCCTTTCAGCTCGTCGTCTTCTTCGAACTCTCTATGCTACGCCACCGTTAGAGAAACTCGATTTGACTATTGGTTTTATACGAAATGCTTTGGCTGCAAATGCAGTTAAGCCATCAGCATGTTATGCAAAGCTCTCGTACATCACTCACCGTACTTCAGTTCTACTCACCTGCCATGTAGAGTACTTTCGCGTCGTGGAACGATCCTTTTCTTCGCGCATCACCGGCCCAGTAGACCTGGTGCACCCTGTCGTCTTCAACTACACCGCTAAAGTCCCTTACATCATCTGAACTCACAACAGGCTGGGTCTTGTCGAGTAGAAATTCTACTAAAACATAAGACATTGTAGAGCCCGGGCAGGATCGACAGGTTGGAGCGAGCGGGCAAACAAAACGAGTCGAGAGCGATCGTTCATGAAAGCTCGGCGAAGCCTCTATGGGCGAAGCGAAGTGCGAAGTGTCGTGTTCGGCGCTTCGGCGGGCTTCTGATCAAGGTTGTCGGTCGGTTGCGTGTCATATCTCTAACGTCAGCGGTTTTATGGGCTCACGTCCCAAAATCGTTTTCTCGTGCATAGATTACTTTTCGTATTCATAGATTTGACGAAATAGTGGTATCCGAACGAACTTTACGTCCTTTGACCGTACGTCTGTCTGCACGTCAAAGCTTTCTGACGTATAGTCAGAGACAATCGATGTACAGTCACAATCGCCACCAAGACATCCTGATGGCATTTCGCGGCGGCCGACTGCCACCAGGAAACCACCAGAAAGCCGACAAGCGGGGTCTGACTGGAGTTTGACTGTCGGTCAGAGTAACTTGTTGGCCAATCAGACATGCTTGACGTACAGTCAGGCACAGTCAGCGGTCCACTAGAAAACATTGACTGCCAAACAGGGTTACATTGATGGATTTTTCCTTTGGGTAAAGAAAAGAAAACCTGTTAAATTCAATGCGCCACCCGTTCAGGCGGCCCGGCCGAGCCGACGCGACCTGGACTCAGCCGCCATGTTTGTTTGGTGGTGGCGCCCCCTATAGGTCGCTGGAGTCGCGATTAGGCTGATGAAAACGTCCAAGGGTGGGCTTGGGTCGGCGACCGCATTCCGCCTCTCGATTCCGGTGAAGTATTTGCTGCATATCTTAAGGTTTGCCGTAGGTGTCCATGTTGTCCCATCGTCACTAGAATAGAAAAAAAGTTAGTCATATTATTCGTCAGCAGCTAAAGCAAAACGCGAACTGCAAGCTAAAAAACGGCAGTCACCTGCATGGACGCACACGCCGCACCCAGGTCGCGCGGTACTCCGCCTCGTACGGCTTCGAAGGGACGATGTAGAGCTTCGTGCCCTACGCGATCTTGGACGTACAATTACAGCAGACCACCCAGCAATTGCTATGGCTTTCTTGGTGCGGAATAGGCATCTCAGAATTTATAGCTCCAACCCGCTACAACGCACAACCAACGCAGCGGGCCAGCGGCTGGCAGAGGCTCGCCGATGCAACGGACCCGTTTGCCGCTAGGGGCGCCCTGGTAGGGGCCTGAATTAGATCCGCACTGTTCAGATAGCATGCTTACCTTCACTAGCCATCTCTCCGCCATACTGTCATGGCAGGCACAGTAAGGCGTTCTGTAAATAGATAGTAAATAAATACTTTCATTTGGCTAGTCACACTCGCTGCGTCTGTTGGTAAATAAAATTTGATTGACGTGAAAGACCACGGAAAGGACTAATTATTAGCCCGTGCCCCGGAGCCGCGGTCTCCGGGGCACGTTGAATGTCGGCGCATGTGCTGTTACGATTCTCCTCAGCATTTGAGAAGTGAGCGCGCGAATAGTCTTCCGCATCATCTCCTCGCCATCATCTGGGAATAGGAGATTTCAGACATACCTAGCGTTATATATATATAAAAAAATAAAAAAATAAACGGCGCAACTACTTATTGAACTGGTGTAGCCGAGGCTCAAAAAAAGAAGAGGCATTGATCTAAGCACACTTTAGTATAAAATCTATGTTAAAATGTACGCGCTCTGCGAGGCCGCTCTCCGGCAGACTATCCTGTGGCATACAGCTCGCGTGAACGCTTCTCCTCCTATGACAACGAAGGGAAAAAAAGGAACGTGATACTCCGTCTCCGCCATTTTGGACACTCAGTTTTGAACAATATAGCCAGCGCCGAGATGGCGCTGCACGCCTTCATTGTGATTCAAAAAGAGAGGATGACTCGCAAGAACGACGATGTGCCCGGTTCTCTATTTTTCAGATGAATCCATTCCACAAGCTGCCCACACTCTGTGATGACGGCTTTGTTGTCTTCGAGAGGTACGTGGAGATCTGAGTTGCTGAATTTAGAGCATGGTGTAACATATAGAGGTGTGGACACCGCGCGCGTTGCAGCTGCCGCATAAAGTCCTCTCCTTGCCTTGGTAACAAGCTGCGCCACCAGATGGCTCCACGATATGGGGCTAATGGCAGCCTGTCGGGGTATTCCGGATGCGCCACGTTACGTATAACTTGTTACTTTCGCTACGCATGTTGCTTAAATACATGCTTCGTAATTAACCCTAATTTAGTGCCTCAACGGCGGCAAGAATAGTCTCATGAGCGCGTTTAAACGGAGAGTTATCTCTGGCGCGGTGTTAAAGCTGCAGCGTCCGTCAAGGTGAGAGTAGACGCTTCGAGCGGAGAGGAGAGGAGCGCACGCCCAGGTGCTCCAAAGTAACGTGGCATTCTGGACAAAAAAAGTTCGGATTTATAGCGCTATGTCTTTCTGTGGAAGCACGGCCGCTCAATCTCAGGGATCGCAGAAGTGCGGCCCGCCAGATGCGCCACGAACGGCGAGACGCGCCTAGTACCCTGGGCGACCACCGCGGCGCTACCGGTCGATGACACCCGCTGTCCATCACCGGCGCTGGTTGGTTCGTTCCGTAGTGTCTCTCCCATTCGCTGATTATGAACGTACACGATTGCTATAGTGACGGCCACGCGGCCAGTAGTGTAAACTAGGCTAGTTCGATTTGCCTGCACCGGTGCAGAAAGGGTAGGGCAGTGTACTTCATGTATCTGTATTGAGATACGACCGGAAGTACGCCGCCGTACACTTTTCTGCAGCGGCGCTGGAGTTGCAAGTAAATCGAACGAGCCTACCGATCGATCTAGCCTTCGCCTATGTACGGAGGCGCGACGTGGCGGGCCGTACCTTGTTTTAATCGAGCGGCGGTTGTGTAGGTTTCTTAAAACAGCTACACTGTTAGAAAATTGCATCAATCTACGTGGAAAAACCGAATAGAACATGTCCCGTTTTCTGGAAATGCATATAATGTTCTGTTTGCTTTCAAAAACGGGAACTGTACCATATGCATCGAAATGTGCTATTTAAGCAATAAGTATGAGCTTATCCGTATCAATAAAAAAAAGCCTTACAAGATTACAGTTTATAGTCGGTTCAACTGGTATAAGCGAATTGAACGCGCCCGAAAGTGCCGGATATCCAGAAATTTTTATGGAACTCTATCAGACCGCGGAAGTACAGCCCCCGTGAGCCCAGTTACGCCGCGCGCAGGAAGACATCTCTCTCCCGCGCATGCGCAAGCTGCTGCCGGCCGGCGTGGGCCCTGGGGCTGTGGAGTGGTGCTACCTAGGGTGCCTTCATGTGCGCTTTGCTTAAGGTGGAGATATTTCGCCATTTTGTCCCACACATTTATTTTTCTTTTTTGTTCAAAAGCGCGTGAAAGAGCGTGTCCCTGCACGCATTTGTGGCGCTGACTGTGCTATGGCGACATTTTGTTTTCGTCAATTTCTTTGTATTTTACCCGTGAGCGCGTGCTGTCGGCATCGGGTACTACAAAGGGTGACATCACCCTTAACAGAAGGACATTGAGGCACCCTAGTGCTACCCGTTCGGAAGGCGAGTTGACGTTGTTGTCGCGTCGTCAGCGGCGTTCTACGGTGCGTAGACGGCTTCGTTTTCCAAGGTACGTATACGTTAAGTTCTTCCTAACGCAGTGTTAGTTTACTATCTCTAAAGGTGTCGTATATTCCAAGTTCGGCATGCCCATCGTGCAGCGTCTCGTCTTCCCAGCCGCATGAAGCTAGGCCTTTTATAGTTCCTGATTCGGGGCGGCATATACTGCACGACCCTACTTAGTATTGGCCACTAGGAGAGCACGGTTTCCGCAATATTCCCGCATTATTATGCCAGGCCGCTGTCAACATGCGTGACTTAAGCGCGTCGAATTAAACTAGATTCGCCGCCAACTTCAACCTCACATGGTTCAAAGTTCAGCGCTTGATCGGGGAGGGGGATGGGGCAATTGGACAATGAGGGAAGATCGGATTAGAAGACGTGAACATTGGTCACTGATGTTTTAAGGAACGAAGTATATTCCTAAGGTCGAAAGCGTAAGATATTCTCAATACAGCGTTCGATAAACGGAGCTTGTTTTTAACTTTTTTTTTTTTTTTATGCGCCTGAAAGCAGAATGGAGCACTGCGTTCCTCAGCTGCTCAACCGTGTGAGCGTTCTTGGCAGCTTTCGCATATGCGGTCCAATAAAGGTGGCACCTGCTTCATGCAGAGAAATAATGCAGGCTTTTGCATCTTAGGAATAGCAACGCATTATCGTGCGATATTTTGAGTCGCCCAGTAAACGTATCCCCGCTGTGCCAGTAATCAATCATCGTCTTGCTAATGCTCCTTTGCGCGCCGCAGATGCTCCGTCACTCCAGGTGTTTTGTGGACTAAATTGATTCCATTTTTTCGGGACTGATATTTCTGAAATAACTCGGGCTACTGATAGACGAATAGAGTTCGAAATTACCCCGGTCGAGTCGAAACCTCTATTGTAATAGGTGGTATTCACTGGACGCCACATTGGAGCTCTCTGAACGCTGCGCATGCTCAGAGTGAACTCCCGCTTATGGCCTGAGAAGGACACCCTTTTTATATAGGGTAATGCTACACGCACGACGTCGTGCAGCTCTACCGGAAGTTGCTGTACGCACGACGCGCGTTAATGTTCTTTCATTGGACGACTCGAATCCTGGCCATAGTGGCAGAGCTTTGCTCTACCAATACAAATTACTGCAGAGCCCTCAAGCAAATATTTTCGCCCATCATGACCTAACCAACATCGCAATTCACGAGCTTGCTCGTGAATATGCGACCAGACTCGCGCATCGTGCATGCAGCCTCGCACATTCATGAGCATGCTCGTGAATTGTAATTGGGTTTTGTGTGTCAAGTCCCCCTTTTTTTTAGAGGATGGGATTTGACTTGTTTTCATTGCGTATCAAGTTCATTCACCGCAACGGAGTGCGGTTTTGCCTTGTGAATTAAAGGAAGATACTATACATATCACCAAAATAAAGCGATAAAACTCATGGATATGCATGCTAACCGGACGAAACTGAAAATCTACTCCCCAGATAAAAACTCAAAAGGTGTGCCATGTTTGAAAATAGTATAACTCCCAAAGCCCTAGGTATTAATGCTCTCAAACACAATTGCAATCAGAAACGTTTGGTTCAGCGTTCCTTTATGACTAAAAAGATCGACTTTTTTCAGGCAGAAGCATCTTCGACTGCCACTGGATGGCACCAGGTGCTTCGAAGGCGCCAGCTTCCTCCCTGCAATGGAGCTGATGTACGCCACATACTGTTGTCTCAACCTAAAGTACCCTGCTGAGCTGCCAGCAGCGTTGAAGTTCGTTTAGAGGTAACTATGAATGTGCCTTTGAAAATGTGCACTGTAAATTTGCTTTGGAAAAATGTATCGTATGGACAGTTCTGATTCCTTCAAGTGGTGCAGTTGTCAAGTGGACATTGCATTTCGTGAAGAAATAAATAAAGACGGCGTTGGAGATGGGGTATATAAAGCGTGTTCGAAATAAACTTTGCAGCTGAGTTTGAGACGTTGCCTCCTCTTTTACTACCTTCTGTTGTGTTCTCTTTTCTGCCCCAGTCTCAGGCTTACAATCGTGTTCACATTAGAAATCCCGCCGCATTGCGAAAATTAGAACCCGCGAATTATTCCAAATCTTCAACTCTTACCTCAATCGCGAAATATGGAGCCCGCCAAAAATAAGTCGTTTACAGTATAGGGTACAAGTCAAAAAGTTCAAATACTGTTATCCTCTGACGTTGTGCAATGTTTCCGAAACTTGTAGAAACACAGAAACTGTTCATTACCTCATAAAAGTGCTAACTTGTCGGTGTCCGAACGATAACTATAGCATGGCGCATAATGCAACAATTTTGTGCGCTACGTCATAGATTAATGTAATTTTAAGAGGTAATACAGTCGCGTGTTCCTTTGCTGAGTACTGTACATATACATGATATTTTTTATTCTTACAGATTTGTTTAAAGAAAGCTACACTTTTGCGGTTTGTGTGAGCGAGTTATACGCCCAGGGAGACATTTAGTGGGTGGCTAATCTTTGCAATATGTCGGCTAATTAATTAAAATTTGTTAATATTTTAATTAGTGAAAATAGACATATGGTTCCAATTAAAAACTTGGTGAGTGTTATCGAAAACCATTAAATGAGTCATTTTCAGAAAGACTTTCAGCGCGTGAGAAGTGTAGTAGTACAATAAAGGTTACCACTTGTGGAGCCCGAGGCTACCGGTTGCGGTAAGGCGCCCGCGCGATTTTTCCGTCTCTTAGCTAGCCCCAGCCTTGTACCTGTTCCACGAGTAGTAACTTCGGCGCACTGTTGCGCTTTTCACGCGCTCAAAGTCTTTCTAAAAATTACTGATCTAGGGGATTTGAACGATGCTCAGCAAATATCTAATTGGAACCATAGGACTACTTCTACTAATTAAAATATAATTAACGAATTTCAATTAATTAGCCGACTTATCGCGAAGATTAGCCACCCCGGTAATGTCCCCCTGGGCGTATAACTCAGACGCACAAACCGCATAAGTGTAGCTTTCATGGCTTTAAACAAATCTGTAAAAAAAAAAAAAAAAAACAGCATAGCAGACGCATTAAGATTCCTCGAACGTATTGCAGTACTCCCATGTAAATATTAAGGCTTTCATTCAGCTTGGTCACACTGTCACCGAGGCATTGCCAATTACATCAAGCAAAGTGTCTAACTTTCGACAGCAATTTGAAAAAAATATGTTTTGTAGAGCAGAATATTAGGCTTAGGGTTTGTGCTTGTTTGGCACCTTCAACAGCAACCTGGAACATGTTGAACCATGTTTTTGTTGAAACTTTACACTAAGAAAGGCAAAGGTCTAATGTTAACGTGCTGCTTTCTAGACACCCTTGTTTACAATTCGCTTGGCAATTCGCAATTCACTTTACAATTCGTTACTCACATTAATTGGATGTGCTACAGTAACTGCGTGACCAGCTGGGGAGGACCGTTTCTTTTTAAGTCATATTATTATGTTGCAATATAATGAAAGAATCAATATGAATCCGGTATTCAGATATATCGTCATATAGAACCAATAGTAGGACTTATGCATCCTACGGTACGTGCAACTTATATTTTAACCCGCCTTAGTATCACTCGGCTGCAAATGCATGGGCTCTTGTTCTGCAGGGGCACATAAATATACCTGTGACCGGGCTATGCTCATCAGTTAGAATAAGTAATATGAACCAAAAGACATGAATGTTCAGTGTTTTAATATTAACCGCAATATTCTGCTTAAGCACTTCAGGCAAGCTTTTTTTGTAATATTGCATTGACTGGTACTCTGAATTCCTTTCTTAACCGAATTATTGTTGTGTACAACGTTACTAGGCAGGCGAGCTGGTTAATATGACATTCTCCAACCCGGGATGGAGGATAGGAAGACATACGTCTCAATTGAGATGGATGTGTTTGTCCTCCTTTGTAGCCTCCGTCTCGCGCTGTAGAATCTCTTAGCGTTGTGTGCTCACGAAAATTCCGAAATCTGTCTAGTTATTACTGAGAACTGATGCCAGTGGGGTGAAACTTTTTTTTTTTTTGTACAATCAAAATTTGTCTTGATGCAAGGATCAGACTTGGATGCTCATGGTGTGTGCACGGACTGTCCAGATTAAGGGCGTTCGTCTCGGCTTGAAAGGATATTATAGACAAGATTTAGAATTCGTTCAGATCGGATTACTAACCAAAAGAGAAGTTAAAGAAGGAGTCAGGAACTCCTTAGCTTCTATTAGACATCTTCCTCTAAATAATCCCGCCCATTATTTAAGTGATCTTTCTTTCAGGCAACTTGTGGCAATGAACCCACAGGAGGGGCCCCGGCAGTCTTGAAGAAAAGTTGCTCTGGTGCGTCTGAAGGCGCATGGAGCCCTCCAAGAGTTCTCGAAGTTCCGAAAGAAGTGGAAAGAAACTTCGGTGCTTGTTTAGATTAATTTTTTTTTCTCTTGTTAATATTACTATTTGTTGTCATAGGCCAAGATGGTTCTTTTCGAGGTGTAGCATGTCAGCATAATTTGTTGTGACATTTTTCTTAAATGTCACAAAATACACAAAGTAAATGCTCACATTGATATTTTTTTGATGGCTGAGCTGCCCGAAATATATTTGCGGCATGAAATATTTTTTGCATTGTGTATGTGTTCTAGTCATTTAAAAGAGAAATAAATGTAAATATTTTTGAAGCAGCAAACTGTTCAGTCTTCTTCGCAATGGGTCCGTTGCTATGGTTTGGAACCAAAAGGACCAAGCCTGAACTTAGTTTCATAAAGATGTTTACAAATGTTTCTATGCCATTATCCCCGTTCCTACATGTAAAATGTTCTCTAAACTTGACGTAGCATGTGAGCACTTTCTCATAGCTTTCCTGGCTGTTCTATTGAGTATATATGTCGCAGATTTATTGTGTTGTTTTTAGGATAGTGCTCGCATTAGATACGACAGTTCGAATTTTCCATACAAGTTTGGGGAAGATTTTCGCATTGCAGGTAATTTTATGTTGCAAAGACTTGCATCAAGTTGCGCCTGCAAACTGTCAGGACATCCCTGTTTTCCATGTCACATATCAACTTTTCAAGGAGAAGCTTGGCATGTGACATACAAAGTCCGGATGTACTCGTGAATAGCGGTAGTAACATAAAATGGGACGACTACTATCCCAAACAAGACTGAACTTTTTCCGTAAGTACAAGAAATGTAACCTGTGTCATTTTGGACGTATTGGAACATGTGACGTACTTCGTAAAAATGGTACATGTTCTAGCATGGCTTGCAACCGAACATGTGCTGCTGTGTGCCATGATGGTACATTTCTTGTAGCATACACTACTTGTTCCGTGATGATGGCGTATGGAACTTATTGTGGCTGCCCATACAACAACAACATGTCCCGTACCAAAGAAGTATGGACATGTTCTGTAGTCCGGTAATACAGTACATGTTGTGGCAACAAGGTTAGCATGTATGTGTCCCATACTTTGACAGGAGTTTTTCTAACAGTGTACGCTCTCATGAAGGAGCGGTTAGTTGACTCAACAACAGGCCCGGGCGTCCGTACGCCTTGGACTGCGAGAAGCTTCCATTTAAGCTGTATGTAAAAGAAAAACAAAACTAAACAGAAAAGGCGTCCGGCTGATGAAGCCGTCCGACATGTGTGTTTATTAGTGCAACAAACTATATCTTTAAGCGCTTCCTTCAATAGATAAGTGGCTGATTCACACACTTCCGACCGCTCATGACCAAGTGCAGTGAAACCTCTTCTGATCTCTCGCGGCGAGTGAACACACTGGCGCCATCTATCGGGTGGAACATTTGGCATTCCCGTTCATTTTCTATTCGCGCATAATTTTTTTTCGAAAAACTTGAGAACAGAATAAACGACAATTTTTCATCGATAGCACGTACATTTCATCTTGCAAACACGGAAAAACTTTCGCTTTAGTGAAATGCATCTCCGTGGTCACCTCATAGATGGCTCCAGCGTGCCGGTGCGTTCTCTCGTGGTAAGAGATCACAAGAACTCGGTCGTGAACAAACACAAGGGTGTGATTGGGCCTTAACTCTCCGTTCCCTGCAGCACGGCCATCTGCCTCTATCTCCTGAACAAGTATGCCCCGGGGAGCGAACTGTACCCGAAGGACGTTGAAAAGCGCGCGAGGATCGACCAGTTAATGGCCGTTGTGACCAGCTGCCTCCAGCCACGCTACCATGACATCTACGTAGGTCGCTCGGTTTTCAGCACAAGTTCGTCGCGAGCAAATACGTACACGAACCCTAGATTGGCGTCCCAATATCACGTGACTTAAAGTGAGCAGCGTTACATGTGAAATACAATTAAAAAAAAAAAAGAATGAAAGTTTAGAAAATGAAAACAAGAAAAACTCCTACCAGATTGGATTATAAGCAGGTGGCAGATTTTTCGATGTTTATAAGAAAAGCTTGCAGATGGGCGTTGGCGTTTATTCATTGTGGAGAAATCGGTGTATACTGGCTATTTGTTTTGTGCGGCCTCTAGGAATAGCGTTAATTAATAACAACAATGCAAATAAACAAAAAAAAGATTCATAAAAACTAAAAGTTTAAATTTGATTTACAATTTGTATACATACCGTCACAGAGCTCTGCACTTGGTAGAATTCGACAATGCTTACAAAGGAGACATGGCGAGTATGAATACGGGTAAAAGTGCGGGGACTCGTTTACGTAATCCGGGGCTTTTCATTTTCTCCCTCTCCTGCTACCCACCTGCTCAGTGTGACAAAGAAAAAAAATTAAATAATAAGGGGCCTTCAGGCAAAATGTTTCCGCGACGAGAAAGACAAGTTTCTCTCGTTAATTTCCCAACACTGAACTGATAACGACTGCGAGTGTTGGTTCGAACACTGTCGTTCAGTTCTGACCTGGATATTGGCTACTCCAGCGAAATCGACGCCGCGTAGCGGTAACGCCGAGAAGCTCAAGAGAGGAGGTCGTTTCGACTCTGTCGCTTGCTATCGCTGCCTGGTTCTCGTAGGCAGCATAGAAACAAAGATCGTTCTCAGGAATTATTTTTATGTATCCGTCGTGTCATTCTTACGCATTGACTAGAAGAAGGATTCTACCGTCGGAAAATCGCTTTTATTTCATATGTTACACCGATTTTACGCTGCAGTCAACCTTACTAAAGCACTCAGTTGGGAAACTCGCCCTGAAAACCTGGGCCGCTGGCGTCCACCACGACGAGACTAAATACGATAACAGCGCCACCCATTAGCGACGAGTTGAAAATGAAAGTTGCTTTATATCGCTACTGCAAGATCGCCCCGCGAGATGGCGCCACCAGCCCTTCCGTGACCCGACGGAACCAGAAAGTGCAGCCGTGCTGTTCACGGAGTGGCCGTTGCGGGAGAAATGGCGGCGTTGCGATCGCCATTAGCTCGATACTGGGATAAGGATCGGCGCCACGTTTTCAGAGTAGGCTCTATGGCAGTTTCCCCACTGAGTGGTTCTAGTAACATTGGCTGCAGTGCAAGAAATTTATGGTGGTGTGCGTGCTGAACGACGAAAACGACCTCCTTTCGTCCGCCATTTTGCCCGACCAGCGCGCCCCCTATAGTTTCCTGGAGTCGCGAATACATCATGACCATTCGTGGTGGCGTACTTATTGACCTCACTAATTGCCAGACGGTAAAGTTCGCCAGCAGATTTCCGAAATCCGGCAAAAAATTTGAAACTTTCGTGTCCTTAGTAAACCGGGATACCAAACACACTCTGGTGAAATCTGGGGGAAACCTCTCGCTACCCGGAGCAACTAAAAACACTACTGATGCCTTATTAAAGTACCCATGGCTTGTGGGACGTGTTGCCGCTCGATTGAAGCATAGTCGTTGAGGCAACGATCATAGGGGCCAGATAAGGACAAAAAAGATAGATATAACAGATAACATGCATGCAAGATAACGATTCATAAGGGACGGCTCTTAGAATGGCGCCTTGGGAACGGCGCTCTTATAGTTCACGCGTCTCTGCAGAAATTGCCTCTGTTGCTGGGAGAGAAGCCCACGGCAGAGCAACTCCAGGCCCTCGAGGACCTTGCCCTGCAGGGCCTAGAGTTAATGATGGGGAGCAGCAAGTTCGCTGTCGGAGATGAGCTAACTCTGGCTGATCTCACACTGGTTGCGCATCTTGGTCTGTTGATAAAGGTAAGCATCTATACGCCGTAAAACGCGCTTCGCACGGTCGCAAAAGCATTTTCCTCGAATGCTCAGCGTCGTCTATGGGCAAATCAAAAAGCGTTTATGAGAATCGTCTGCAAAAAAGTTCCTCAGTTATTGAGCCTCTACCGTTGTTGCAAACGTAATGGCGGAACAAAATTGCGGCGCGTTGCAGTTACAGCGCTGACTCAACTTTAGCTCCACACTGTTATACCGCCCCGGGAGTGCCATCAATATGGAGGACAGCCACGTTTGCTACCATTGCGCATGTACACGGGCGGGTAGCCCTCGAAAAGGCTGATTCCCTCCATGAATGTTGCTGGTTTACTTTGTGTATTTACAACAACCGTTTTCTACGCGCTGCCTTGTTTGTCTGCTTAGCCGTGGCCTCTTTATAGACCTTTTTCGCTTACTCTTGTCCCCAGCCACCGGGCACGCAACTACGGTATGTGCGACGAAGAAATCATAAAACATTTCAGCCTGCAAAGAGTAAAAAAATCAAGGGGAGACAAAACGAGAATGGGTTACGGTTACGCTAAAATCTTCAATACATTTTATTGGTGTGACGACGGCAAAACAATGTTTTCGCTCATAGCGGGAGTGACGACATTTCAAGATTACGCCGCCCTAGTGAAACAAGTCTGTAGACAGTAGCTTTGTTCGATTTAGCTGCACCTCTTGCACCGTTGCACAAAAGTGTAGTGCGGTGTACTTCGGGTCGTATCTGAATACAATATAAATAAAGGGAAGAACATAAAAGGCAAGGACGGACTAGACGTTTGACCGCCCTTGTCTTTTATGTTCTTCACTTTATTTATACTACCCTTACCAGCACGCTCCCCATTCCAAGTATCTGAATACACATACCGGAAGTAGACTGGCGTACACTTTTCTGCACCAGTGCAAGAGGTGCCGGTAAATCGAACGACGCTCGTTTTATCGTGGGTAGCGCCATTTTAAATACTGTAGCGCCATCTAGCGAGATTCAGGTTCCGCGGCCAAGCTGAATGGTTAGGACCAGACATGTGCCTATCTCAAATACTCTACTCAAGATACTGTAATTCAAATACTTTTTGAAGTATCTTGGTATCTTGCAAATACTTTGGATCGAGAGTAGTTGATACTCTATTTTAATTACATCTCTGAGTATCTTGTACTCATCATCTGAAATAGATTTTTGACATTCCGCCATTCTCCGAGTTTTTCGGTATGAAGTGGCGTGGGCGTGGCACGAGCAAACGTGAACGATTTCTTCAGCGACCAAATCCCGTTGCTAACTCCGAGAAGCTACGGTGACTTAGATTGGGTTTCTGAAAACATCGCTTTTGTGCCGAGTGTGACTCATATTTCACCCCAAAGTTCGTACAATGAAGATTTTCACCTAGCCTTCCCAAAGACGCCCTTTTGTTTCCTAGATTTTCACCACCAAAAATAGTCAAACAAAAGGGGTGGTTTTACGGAAGTAAAGATTGACACACTGAGGCGCAACGCAGAACGGGAAACAACCCACGACAACAATTCAAACTTCAGTGTCAAGAAAGTAACAAATAGAATTAAATGCGAAATGGTCACAAAAAAAGACATTTTTTGTATATTTGATCCCGGTATAACAAAACGTCTAGGTTTTTTTTTTCTTTTTGTCGTCAGTCCGGCACTTATTGCTCTCGCGGACACTGTCTGTAAGCGAACATTGATAAGCAGAGAACAGGACAGGAAACCAACTACGCGCAGGGTGACCTCTCAAGATGCCAACCAAGCGTCCCCCAACGTTAAATGCCTTTCTGAACGCAACCTGCTTGAAGAAGGTGCGACCAATGCCGTGGGTATTATATGTGCTCTCTTTGTCATCCATTCAATCATTTCCGTACCCTAAGTTCGTTTATAGTGAACTCCCCATGTAGGGAATAAGATTGTAGTTCAACGACGCGTCCGCAGGACTTGATATTCAGCAATGTCACTATTCGAAACTTTCAGCGATAGTGGTACCGCGGTGTCAGAATGACACTCCCTAGCTCATGGATGCTCGGCTTCACAACAAAGGTGACTGCTTACACCTTCCAAGCGAAAAAAAATAGTCTCTAATACTGCTCGTATAAAGCAAAACTAGAATTAATTACGCGTTGCAGACCGCGTCTCTTACTACTGTTCTATGACCGTCATATAGATGACAGCCATTTCGATAGGCACCAGTGCGCACCTTATAGGTCGTGAAATTTGCGAATAGCTAAAGCGCCCTCGTTTTCTTTTTTTTTTTGTCCCACAAGGTTTTGTAACATGTATCAGTGATATCCTGCTCCTTATAATTGGACTGCATAAAACAGCACCAAGATGCTTTTTTTTCTCGTTTTGTGTTGTTGCGTTTTAATAAAGTATTCTGGTAAACCAGATTCGCGAAACTGTATAATTGTGCTTGTCACTGACGTCGATACAAATTACGCTGTGCGGAAGTATTTTCAAAAGTAATTGAATTACATTTCTAAGTATTTTTCCTCTACTGAGCATACTTATTTACAGTGAAAATAACTTGAGTAATATTTTAAATATTTATAGAGCAGGTATTTAGTAACTTAACTTAAATACTTTTATCGAGTATTTTGTCCAACACTGGTTAGAACCATTGGCGAAAGGGCTCTTCGGTGCTTGTTGGGTGCTCCGAAGTACTGGGTGCAGGATATCCGACTTGGGGCGGGTCTTGTGTTCTTGTGTGCCGCGAATAGTGTTTTTCAACGCATTGGGAAAGTTTCTTGTCCTGCATTATAGCGTCCGCCAGTGCGGCGATGCCAAGAAGAGTTACGCTGAACGCGCCACTCTTAGGAACTGTTGGTGAGTACTCAAAATATTGCAACAGTTTACAGCGATTGAATTTCCTTTCGGTTTTTTTGTCGTTTTAGAAGCGGTACACCGATAATATTTTTGGCGTTTTGTGTTGTCCACAACAATGAAATATAATATGAACAAAGACTCACGAGATGATCTCATCCCAGGAAACGATCGAAGGCAGCTCCCTTCGGCTTGGAGACGTAAAATTTTTAATTGATAACCTTGTGTCGACGAGTGAGTCCTTCGTCTATAGAACTAAAAATTGCCAAGTCGAAATGGGCCCATTGCCGGAGCGAGTCGGTCAATGAATCAATTACGCTTCGAAATCGATGCATGTGCATGTTTCAGCAATAGAAAGTGAAGTTTTCTTTCCAACTACGTTATGTACTAATTACCAAAATAAGAACAACCATCTCACGTTTTGACGTTCTGTAATGTAGTGGTAAGTTCCACGGTTTTCGCTATGCTTAGCGGACTTCGTGTTTTGGTTCTCAACCCTCTAGTCCTTACGTTTTCCGCAAAGCAAAGTAAAGCCGCGCACCAGTCGTGACCGAGACAACGATGTGTATGGTTCATGTATCGCGATTGGCGGCGAGAAACTAAACCTAATCAACGGTGACGTCAGTTAGAAGAGAATGAAATACCTACGGCGGACAGAAGTAGCCACAGCGACATATGACAACCAACGGCATAGGACAATACCAACTCGGAACAGGGAAGGCATGGGAAGAGTATGTCGATAGGTTGGAGATGTACAGCGTGTGTCACAAGCTGGCCAGCGAAGAACAAAAGTGCGCGATTTCACTCAGCTGTTGCGGCGCCGAAACGTACTCGCTCATAGTTACGCTACTTAAGCCTAGCCGTCCGACGACAGCGAACTATTCATATATTGTGGCAGCAGTGAAGTAAGCATAGAGACACCCACTTACCTAACTCCACTTACCACAAGAAGCACACGACTCACAAAGGAACACTCCTTGCATTTCATAATGGCCAAAACAAATGCTTTGAAGCAGTTATAATAATAATAATAATAATAATAATGTTTATTTTCCGTCAAAACACAAATGACGGAGGGAGACCGAGGAAAAAAGCTGCATCATGCAGCTTGACGGGCCCTCAGCCCCCCCTCCTTACACATGGCAGCAGTGGCACAAGTAATCCAAAAAGAAAACCAAGAGGAAAGATAACAATTTCAGAGATAAGAACAGGACAATATTACAAAAAAGGTGCGACTATATATAAAAGGCAAACAAAATCAAAGCACATGCAAGCAAAGCATTATACAATTCAGCAAAAATTTAGTTTATGAAACATGACAACTAAGCAATCACATTTGGAAAAGAAAAAAAATGCTCGGAGATTTTTTACAGATGTTGTCGGAAGGTCAATGTTGTGAGTAACAAGAAAATTAAGCAGTCGAGGATGTGCATACTTTAACATTTGTTCACCGTAGTTAGTTTTGCAAATAGGGAGCGTCCAAATTTCCGTGTTTCGAGTAGGATATGTTGCTACTCTTAGCGAGAGAGACGCCAATTCACTAAGGGCATGAAGATTTGTTTGTACTTCGGATTTATAGGTCATGCATAAACGATATTTATATAATCTATTTACAGGCATCAAATTTAAACGTTTAAAGAGAGGTTCGCTAGGGTGGTCGTATGACACGTTACAAATACTTCGCAATATTTTCTTTTGTATCACAAGTATTTTGTTTAAATTTGTATTCGTAGTAGTACCCCAGACTAAGAAGGAATAATGAATGTGGGAGAGAAACAATGCATTATAAATAATTAATTTTACATTTGTGGGCAGAATATGGCGATGACGATACATTAAGCCGGCGACTCGTGACAATTTTACCGAAATATAATTTACGTGTTCATCCCAACTCATTCGATCCGTAAATATAACGCCAAGTGTCTTAAAACTAGATACAATATCTATTTTGGTTCCATTTAAAACAATATCAGTAGTTATATAATCATTCTTACTTTTTGGGCGAAATAAAATTGCTTTTGTTTTGTTATCATTTATTTTTAAAGCATTACATTGACTCCAAGTAGCGAGGTCTTTCAACGTTTGATTTGCCTTTATTGCTAGTTCCTGACAGCAGTTACCGGTAAAAAATAAACTTGTATCATCAGCGTAAATTACGTATTTAACAC